AAGGCAGGTTGGATAGCTTTATTATTGCTGTTTTTTTTAAAAAGTATTTGTAAAAAAGAAAGGATGTGTTTAATTATCCACTAACTAAGGTAGATAGCACTGAATAAACTGGTACTGTTTTTGTACAAGCTGTCTGTTCTCATCTCATTAAGCATATTCTGACCAAAATATGTGCACTGCCAGTTACGTCTTATGCACACTCCCTGGTTGGTTATGTTATTTTAATGGGGAGAAATAGAAAATGGAGGCAATTCTTAAAATGAATTCATCATTCTTATGGCTGTCCCCCAACAAACCCCTTAGATAATGTGACCAGCACTGTTTGTAGCCTAGCTAAGAAAAGAAAAAAACTATGACTAATTTAGATTTTAACTGTGATATTCCTTTTGTTTAAAAGTAATTGTGTAAAATCCTAGAGAGAAAACACAGAACTGCAACATTTTAATCTTACCATTAAAAAAACCCAAGTCCTCTCACCTCTGTGTCGCCCATATCATTACTACAGAACAGTGAATTCTAGGGAGCGAGATCTAGTTAGTGTGACAGTACACCCTGTTCTCCCCTCAAGAGGACAGAGAGATGGATGAGGTTACATAACAGGTAAAGATAGGTATGTATTCAATACACGGCTAACACATCCTATGGGAACAGTTCTATGGTGACCATGTAGGAAACTAAAGAGCTCTGTTTTTATTGATTGAGCACAACGCCAAGCACACAGTCTGTGTACAAACTGTAAGAAAGTAGTTCTCTCCAAACAGCTGCTCTCCAAGGAAACTTGGTAAAAACTTTCTCCACACAAGGTCACAATTACTGACTTGCCTTTTTTGCGCTCAATAAACAAATGGGAATAGAAGTCACCTTTTGACCAAATCTTTTAACCTACGCGAAGATAAACGGGATTAAAAGGTGAACCTTATAAAGACTGCAGTAAAGTAAATGCTTGTTCAATCACATTCTGGAATTGCTTTCACTCTGCCATTCTATTGATAGTGTGAGACCTGAAAAGCACCACTTTTCAAGTGCCACATTCAATTGCACGTTTATTGTTGCACGAACCTGAAACCAACTGTGGTCACTTGGCTTTTCCATCTGTTGCTTTGTATTCGTTCTGTGTTGCTGGGCATGATTGTAAATAATTAACTGTGGTATATAAGAAAGCCAGAGGCGTAGAACAGCTGAAAAACAGAACAGCAAACATCTGTCCTCTCTTCAATTAAATGCAAAAATATACTGGATGAAAGAGGCAAAGCATTAGGAAGAATGAAACATTTGGTTGGATAAACCTCTGCATGATATAGAAAAACTAGTATTTCAGGGTTTTGTTTCATATGTAGGAAAACCTCATAAAGAATCCCACTGTTTGATGACTACTCACAACGCACTCGTTGTTTAACTTTGTTTAAATCATGATATAGTAACGGCTGTATGTATGATATCAAGCTAATGGTGAAAAATGGACAGTAAAACATAAGTAAACCTCTTAGATAAAAGAAATGCTGAGAGGTTTTGATGAGTTTCGGAAACTAATGGGAACTAGAAAAAGCATTTCCTGCAGGAAATGTGTGTGAACGCTGTAAACTGTGAACATTTGTGGCCGAATTTAGCTGAAAATGCAGAAAAAGCTGAATATTTTATTAGTTGAATGGTAGCTGCTTTTAGCTACAAAAACCAATTAAGTGTGTTGCTGAACTTAGCGGAGAAATGCAGAAAAGTGAAATGATTTGAATCACATTGTTACAGCTCAAATGCATTGCAATGACTGAAAGTGAAATGTTAAACTGGAAGAGTAGGACAAATAGTGAAGAATCAAGAATCGATTGCTGAAAATGCTGAATAGTTTATATTTGAATGGTGTCTGTAGCTGTGTATCACTTTTTACTGCCCCAATGTCTGTTGTGATTTGAGTTTCCTGCAGCATTTATTTTATGCAAAGCTTTAAGTAAACCCTGCACATGTTTCATGAAGTTGATGCGTGTGTCGTCAACTTGGTGAAGATGATTCTTCTTTTGCATGTGTTTTGGCACATTTGTGTTTTCATATTTGCATCATTTTTTAAAGTGATGCAAATATAAATATAAATATTTCCATAAGAAACGTTTCTTCTTATGGAAATGTTTTGGACCGTCGTAGCACGTTGGCACGGGTCGGTCACCATAGGTATCCAGATCTTTATTTTATTCCAACACCAAATAGCAAACTCGCAAATTCACAACTCAAACTGGGTCATATCATTTGTTGTATCTGCATTATTTCTACATCGCTAATCAAAGTGTTATTCAATCTAAGATGAAAGTAAGTGCAAAGCTAGCTAGCTAGTGGCAATGCTAATGTGTCCCAGCAGGATGGATATCTTGGACATTTCTAAATGTTCTCACTGTATCACATTGCCATTTTAGTACATCATTAAAAAATGGAACAAAGATAATGAGTACATGCCAGCTCAGAAAATGAGGTCTTACCTCATGAATCTAGGTCTGTAGCCAACGTGTTTTGCAAAAAATAACCAGGATCTCTCCTGGGTCACTATGAGAAATATGTCATTCTACTGTTACCACTGTAATATGTGTCCTTGTTCCAGTTATTTTTCACAACTCTTGAATTGGTTTAATCCAAACTCAGCTTTCCTATGTGGAAGTAGCACGATTAGCATAGCATAGCCAGGCTAATAGCAAGCTAGTTGATTTAACTGATGTTCTAGCGCACAAAGTTTATCAAATAAATGTGTTATACGTTTGTGATATCGTTACTATATTTCATGAATAAAAAGCGATTAAATTGCTGTATACAACACATTATTTGCTTTAATAGTTTGTAAACAAACAAAAGAATGCACGAGAACAGTCATATTTGTTTTGAAGCCTTTAAATTAGTCTCCAATTATTTGTGCAATTACACAGAAATATTTTTTCATTCATACCACATTGAGCTGTATAATAAAAAAACTCCTCTTTGACTATGAAAAGACAACAGCCCTAAATGAAAAAGACACATAGCCTTTATGGGAGCAAATGAACCTCACAACATTGTAAAAGTGGCTATAGAGTTATGCTGCATGATTAGGAAATATTGCACATAGATAAAAAGGCTCTTGGGATGACATCATTATTAAATAAGTGAACAGAAGTTTGTGAAGGTTGGATGAGCGAGGTGGAAGTGTACAGATATCTGTCTGAAGCTGTCTACAGAACAATTAATTGTTCTCCCCCCACACCCATATCTATCAAATATACTTCATTACCGGCAAGCAGTCTCAGAAAAAAGGAAATAATAAAATCATTTAATATGTACAAAGACAAACCTTTTGAAAAAAAAGACAATCTCTAATTGACATCATAATGGCATACATTGAAAAGTAGCATATTACATTTAAAATAAGTTAAGGAAATTAATTTTTTGAATTAATTTGGCCAACTTTCTACATCCCTACAGTACAAGCTCAATGTTAAAAAAACAACATCGTAAAGACAGCCATTTCAAAAACATGTGAAACAAGACAAGAGCATATTTAAACAAAAATAATAGATTTATGTGTAATGAGATGTTGATTTTCTGCCATTTGGAAAAAATACAATTCCAATCACAGATAACATTGTATTCAAGTCTTTATATACAGTAAAGTACAACTCAAATATCTGATCATAGAAACAGCAATGATACTGATGTTTTTATTTCACAATAAGGTCAAGTTTTATTTAATGTTATCTCTGTGACATACTCACAAATGTCATAATTCTTGCAATTCTAGGAATGAACAGAGCAGGACATATATAGCTTTTCCTACAGCAGACTGTTTTGGACCAATCAAAATATTTGAAAATAAATATACATAATGTCAAGGCTATTGGAATTTACAGTAGAGATCTTCATGAGTCCAAAATGACATTATTTGAAATGGACATAAGGAAAACCCTCCAAAAAATGATCAAGTATTTTTTTCAAAAATGGTGGGTCTTCAATGTCTTCACATGGCACTTGCATTTTTATCTTTTGGTTTTGGGACTTACATCGTAATTTAGGACCTAGAGAAGTAGGCCTTCTAAAAGCCAAAACAGTCGCACCCATAGCATCGTTGCAAGGGGGAATAACTGTGATGATCTTTGTATGTTTCCTTCATTTTATAGTTGGCCCTTCAATGATTATGAGCCATTGTTGAATAAGAGATGTTAGAGAATCCATTTGGATCAACTCATAACCGAAACCCTACCCCGACCCGATTTTATGGAGTATAATTCCAGGACCAATGCAAAGTCTTACTCCCTATGGATCTTGATGCCCTCAAACACAAGGAATCTGCATGAGAAATACCAGGCCCTAACTGACTCTAATTTAAAATCATCCACGTTGTTAGAAAACAAGATATAAGCTGAATATCTAGGGTGGGCAGATAACTTAGAAAATGACTGTATAAAAACTGTTCTCAAGTGAAGGGTCAGTTCCCTTCTTTTGTACAAAAGAGCCAATCAAAATAATCAGGTAGTTTACAAACACAATATCACCACAACGTTTACCGTGCACAAACCTTCTGCGCATAGATAAAAATGCAAAAGACCACCTTGGCCAGAACCGACTGAGATCAATATAATTAATGACAAGTATGGTTAAGATCACATTAGAGACCCAGTCCAACTGTGGTTCCAGTTAGTCTTGAACACAAGGACCTAAGTGAACCCATGAAGACCTCTTATTTCTAATTCATCTGACTAAACAGCGGCAAAAATAAGCACTGTATGAGCCAACAGACCTCCAATAAAGCTAAAATACTTTAGAGATACTTTGACAGATTTTTAAATAGAAATACCCTTTAGTATATATTTATAGTTTTCCTTTTAAAGTTTGGGACTCTTTTATTTGAATGTTTTGTGAGGTATACTGTATCATCTATCACTGAACGGAATTTTACTGCTGGTTCTGCTGGTAAACTATAATCAATAATATTGCACAAACACGTGACATTTGACAAAAGCATGATTGTTCAATTAAGAGCACATGGGATTCCATACAATAAGGCATTGCTTTAATGAAAACATCTGGACAAACAGGTCACAGTTTTAAGTAATGCTTGATTATGATGTCCTCATTATTACTGATTGTTTCCGTCAACACATCGATGCAAAACTACGGCTCGATCCATGCGCTCCGACACAACGAGTACCTGATATGTAGAGATGAAAGCAGCTGGCCAATCACAAACCGAGCAGAAAGGGCGGTGAAGCGTCATCTTCGTGGATGACAAAAGATGTGTGAACAGAAATTAAGCTAGGTCAAACAACCATCAAGCTTCATTTCCACCTGCAGACTTAAGCTGCCAGCCGACGGTGGTAAAAGATTATTTCATACGCATTCATTCTATGCTACAAGCACAGTAGAAAGAAAAAAATACTTCCCATATACATATTAAATCCACATATTTTGCAGACATCTGTGGAAATATTATTCATTTGGGATCTTTGACTTATCTAAAACTAAAAGTATTAATTGGGAATCTAAGAAATATTCCAGGTGGGAGAAAACCAAACCAAACAATATAGTCAAAGGGCCAGCTTTTCTTGTTCTAATGCTGCTAATATAGCCTATTTACAATCATCTATTGTATGCAACAGAAATAGCCTCTGTTTTAACTATTAAGCTGATATGTCCTGGCCGTTTACCAAAGAAGAAGAGTCAATTAAATCAAACAAAAAAGGGAATTCAGTAATTGTGCTTTTTAACCCATAAATCCACTTCTTCACTGAAAGGGGACGAGTTCAAGAGGCACCACTTGAAGTGCTTACATCAGTCACTGAGAATCTCTAAAGCTATAATAAGGACTGAAAATACAAATAGTAAATATAGTATATTTATATATTTATAAAGTTGATACAATTCCTATCCAGTCCCATGTCCAGTTTAAAAAATATTTTCTTCAGGCCGTCAAACGTCTGACATGAAGGATCCCTCTTTGTGTCAACACGCAAAGCCCTTATGATGCTCTAAGAGAGAGATGTCTTTGCTGGGGTTGATTCTTGATGACACAGGAAGCTTGTGCTAAAAAGCTGGAAGAGTTTTTTTTAATGTAGGAGGTTGTTATAATAAGAAGACCTCTGCACAAGAGATTTGCTGATTTTGAAGATTTCTGTCGACGTCTGTGTCTCAGGAATCCTTCCAATCTGTGGTTAAACAGTTACTTCGTTCTTGCTGGCAGTGCGGTATGTGTGGTGGTGGCCGGGAATGTACTGTAGTTGGTCCACGGTGTGTGTTCGTCGGGAGGCAAACGCCTGCCTTTTAGATGTCGGCGCTTGGTGGTTGACCGTCAGCGTGTTGTAGTCGGTAGAGGCAGTGGGTTGAGAGTGCATCTTGGTCATCTTGTGGCGGTCCATGGTGGGCGTGACGGGCATCAGCATGTCGGCGTGAGACATCGCCCGCGCCATCGCCTTCTCCCGGAACTTGTCGCGCCTCATAGCGGGGGACAGCAAAGGATCCTGGGATTGGAGGCGGTCTGCTGACAGCAGCTGCTCCTCTGAGAGGTGCCGGCTGCTGCTGTATGATGCAGCTGCCATGACGCCGTAGGACGATAAGCCATAGTCCCCACGACGTGGCGTCCTGGGAGGGGACAGGACGTGATCCTGGGACATGGCCCTCTGGACTCGGCGGGGACGCTGCCGCTGTTGGTGCTGTTGGTGCTGTTGGTGCTGTTGGTGCTGTTGGTGCTGCTGGTGCTGCTGGGGTTCTGAGTTTAGCTTCACCATGTGGGTTGGTCCCCGGCCGCCAAAGTCAGGATGATGATGCTTCCTCGTGTAGTACTCATCTACATCCTTATCACCTGAGGAGAAAGAATATGGAGATTATCAGGGAGAGACAACAGCATCAAGACTCCTGGCCTTGCTTGGAACAAATACAACCTTAAGCTGCCTTCACATGATAAGCAATTAGCTCTATGCTCACCACATAGTAGGGTACAGAGAACGGCTGATTAGTTCTTCTTCTATGGTTGACTCCCTTGTCTGCCTGTGCGGCTTCACGTAGATTTTACTCTTGGTTATGCTTTGAAAGGTCGAGCTGGCAGTACCACCACCTTTTCGGGCTCTGCAGTTTTACCGCAGATAATGTGACGGCAGCTTTACACAATACCAGTACTTTACAGAACAGTAATTTGGAGTCTAAAATTACATATTTGCTCATCTTTTTAAACAGATGTCTGGATATGAATGCAGAAAACTGTTGGCAATTCCGTACTATTTTGAATGTTGGGTAGTAGTATCGATCAATCACTTCTGAACAGGCATTGGTTGTATGGAGAAGAACAGAGAGAACATTGGAACCCATTTGCCAAAACGAAATATCAGAACCCATGGGGATATCGTCTGACGATCAAACAGCCTTTTATTCGCTTTTTATTTTAAATTGGCTTCAAAAACACCTGGTCATAGACATTGAATAGTAAATCCAGCTCCATTCATTGTCTCAAGTTGCTAATTGGACTTTAAACAATGAACAGCAAACAGAAAAGGAAGTTTTGGATTGAACATTCACTGGCTACATGGGAACCCCCTTGAAATATAGCCCCGTGCCCCCAGAAGGTTATTGATGTCAGAAGCATAGCCAATCGGTTCCAGGATTCATCTTTTTACAATTTTTAGCTCAAATAAATGTCTTGCCGAAGGTGCATTCTACTGTAGTTCGTGGTTAGCACAATTCCTAGAAGTCCTTTCAACGTTGGTTTATTCAGAACAAACCTATATTGACAGGATATTTGCTATAGTACACATATGGGGAAGTTTTTTCCCAGGGCAGGGGCAGCAAGACCATAAAAAACAAATAACCTTTTCTTTTTTACAGATTTCATTCATCAAGACAACAAATTATTGCAAACCATGCAGGAGCATGCAAAAGCCCTCTAGGACTTGCAGATGTATATGTAATTTGCAAGCTACAATCATTTGAGAAAAGTAATGCTTTCACAAGGAAATCTGCATATAAGCAGTGCCCACAAATCACGTTTGAAACGGGCCCGAGGACCACAAGTGTCGACACATTAGTCTCCATTATATCTGTCCCGCACATTCTGGCAGCTGTTGAACGGATGGGGTGATAATGGTAACCAACACAGTAATTGGAGAGTCCTTTCAAACATGGCCTTTTTTTTCATAAAAAACAGAACAACAGTAGACTCTTATCAATGTAATTTCCCATTAGTGTGAAGAAGAGTCATAATTTCTACTCAACGCAAAAATACTCAACAGTTCATGAGCTGGTTGTGTCTGAACAGGCCTCTACCAGGAAGCAGGTTGGTCTGCCCACTGGGTGTTCCTAATGTTACAGTCATGCTCGGCTCTACTAAACATGGGAGGCAATTAGCTCTCAGCTGTGTATCTACCTGTTTTTGTCACTGCTGGCACACATTGAGACGCTACCACAGAAGCTCTCTGATGAACTATTGGTGCTGAGGGGTCGTTACCTCTTCAGCAGTTAATTATTGCAGAACCCTGAGGTCGAATGGCCATTTTAGGACCGTGTCACGCTTCACTGGGTCGTGGAAAAGAGGGATGATGGGAATTGTGGATGTGGATGCTCGGCTCTCTGGAATAGATGTCACGCCTGGATACAGAAGGTCACCTTTTGTCCCGCTATAAGGGGTTTCATGTCCACTGCTCTGTGCATTCTTAATGAAGGAGGGCTAACTTTGGCCCATGGCAATGTGCTCCAGCATTTTTTCCCTAAAAACTTGGTTTAGATGTGACATTGTGGCAGAAAATGTCAACCAAACTCAACCAGAGGCTACAAGTATAAAGACAATTGAGAAGTTATGCCCCATAGCTCCTTTGATAGGTCAAACTGCAGCCAGCGTCACAGATTTGTAGTGATTATAAACTAAAATGTTAATATGGCAGGAGTGTATTATGTCCTGCTGTCAAAAGAAAAAAAATCTAACATAAATTCTCAAATAAAGGGCGGGTCTTCGATAACAGACAGAGCCATGTCACCAACCAATAAGGACCAACTTTTCCAGGTTTTTCCATATTCTGATATTTAGTTTGCCACCAAAAAGTTACTGCCAATAAAACTCTGACTTCCCAAGCATTGAATTTGAAACATTTGCAACATGGTCAATTATGTGCTCATCCACCCCAAGAAGAAAACATACCCTAACCCTAACCCTAGGCAGTCTGCACACTTTTGGGCACTTGGTCAAACCATATTGATAGGAACTTTAATCATGATTTTTTGATGTCCTTTCCATTTCTTTTTAAATAAAGGCTTATCAGGAATGTGGGAGGGGCTTTCTCATTTAGTCTCTCGAACGCTTTAATGTAAAAAGTCTGCACACATTTTTTTTCATATCTATCAATGGTAACATTACAGTGATTGACAAAACTTACGCAAATAAAAAACATTCTGAATTTGCTTTAACAACATGTTAACATTGGGGGAAGTATTTTTCAGTAATAAGAATCAACAGAAAATCTAATCAGGGAGGCTTCTCTATCTAATATAATAACCTATATTCATTGAATCAAAAGTAATTAGGCTTCTCACTGTTGTTAAGGTGGATAAAGACTTTGGCCAGTGTTTGAGAATGAAATATAATATTAATTTCAGTAGAAGGTTTCTGGGGAACTTCAAAATGCCCGGCTACAAATGGAATTCCTCTCCTTCTAACACTTGATTTAAGACTTGCTTTTTATGAGCGTACATATGTTACACCATTTACACTTTAAGTGACTAGAATGATATAAGAGGGGCGGTGCGAACTGCTCCATCTAATTTCTGCAGCGCCAATAAAATGTAGCAGTTTACAATTAAGATGATTGCGAGAGGCTAAAGGGTCCCAAACGTGGCGCGGAGCTGCAAACACAGGAAATAGCTAACAACGGTTAATGGAACCCCAGCTCCCACTCTGCGAGATTAGATTCAATACAAGCAGTATATTTATGTGTCAGCTATTGATCACAGAAAACTGTAATCATATAATGCGCTAACACTCGTGAAACTGGTGGAACATCAATTATAAAGTGATCTTTAGAGAGGTTTGGAGAAGGAGCATATGAAATTAAAAGGGGGGAAGGGAAGCAATTTCATTCCTGTTTTTCTTTGGTGAGGATTGAAGGTAGCTTGTTTGTTCTTTGAGGTGTTTTAATCCCTTTTGGGGGTGTAACAGGTTAAGGTGAACAACAGAGCCAAACAAGCAGGTTACCTTAGCAGCAGCCTGCCTCACTGACATCACTGAAGAACACACACTGCGCTCACACACATCATTTAAAATATCAAATAAACCATGCTAATGCAATTTAGTCGTAATCATTATCCCTCCAGATGGTTTAATTAAAAAAGCAACTAATTATATTACTTTTAGGCTTGTTTCCAAAAAGCCTCACCCGTGATAGAACCCGTAATTAATTTTTCCAAGTGGAAGGGCTTTGTTTAAGGGACGACTTTGCTCGCTCTTTTGACAAATTCTTCAGGGCTCCTGTCTCAAATTCAAGCCTTTTCGTGGTGATTCATGTCTGTGATTTTCTGTGTGTGTACAAGCTTCAGCGAGATAAGAGCAAAGCCCAGAGTTGATAAGGGAGAGAGGAGTAAAACCTATAAAAGACACATTTTAAATGCGCTGAAAGGAGATTGTACCAACGCATGTTGTTCTATCACAGGACCAATGGCACATTCAAATGGCTTTCTAAGTCTGTAATGTCTATTATAATTCAAGGACAGTGAATGGTGCATATTGTGTGTTTGTTACAACTCACAAGTGCTTGGAAAATGTGCTCTTCACTGAATTTGTTCCTGGAAATAAGGTTAGAGGTAAAAGTACACCAAGAGTAATGCTCCACTGTGTTTTTAACTGACAAATCCGTTAAGCACAGAGAAGCTTCTTAAGGCAAAAGGATGAGGATGTTTTTTAAAAAGAAAAGAAAAAATATCTACTGTCAACAAATTGGTTAAATGTGGTTATTCACAATAGAATGCACTTTAGAGAAAACCGTATGTTGCCAATGGTTGTGCTTTTGGAAATACATAATGGATGCACTGAATGGAATGAATTGCAGCGTCATGGCTTACTTAGCGGCTCATATTCAATAGCTGTTTACTTTGGTGCATTTTAAAACTGCGTATTGCTAAAAAGATAAGTTCAAGTACTCAAACGAGTTTTTATTTTTAGACAAGATTAGTTATTGGTCCACCCGATTATCTTAACGCTCAAATATAGCATTCTTAGCTCAAGAACTGACGTATGATAGTCTGAAGCGGAGGATATAGAGGGTAAGTAGTTCACAAAAATGATTTCCTTGCACTTTGAATGTTCTGTTCACACCGCTTTTGCAAGATCCTCTCGCGTTCTGCATCAGGTTCAAACAGAAGAGAGATGTGCATGCAGAATTCTGCTTTAATAAACCTTTGTGTTATTTAAATATTCAGCTTTAAGAAAATAGATCTGTTTATAGAAGAACAGGCCCACTGCATCTGCTACTGATATCCAATCCCTTTAACATACTTCAGTTATCATATGACCAATTCAATCTAACCTTGAATACCACCAACAAGTAAAGAGCTTTCTAAATCCCATTCTGTATCAGAAGAAGGCTTTTTAACATGACTGAATAAATCCTTTCTATAAATGTATTACAATATTTAATTTTATAGTACCAATGGTAACTTGCCATGATGCATACATATGCATCAAGCACATACAGAAGGCTCTCTTCACAGTTCAAAAATAATTTTAAGGTCGTTCTAAAATTGCAATATCGTAAAATACTGTAGTTGGACGGTTTTTGCTTTCAGTTCTCAAATGTTTCATGGCGATACTAGTCTTGGGTGTTTGTTCTGTCCCAATGTTAGTTTGACAGCTTTTAAATTAGCCCAAACAAACAAAACCAAACAGCTTAATGCCCCGAAGTTCGTCTGAACTGCACCAAACAGGTTTGGTGTAAAAGTATCCTTAATGTTTTTGAACAACACCAGAAGAAAGTACACACCCTTCCCCTTCATGCTACCTATGAAGTAACTGTTGTCAAGATATGCGCACATAATTGTGAAGGACCTGTCACACGTTCTGCATTGCAAATGCAAACTATTACCTTCAGGTAGAATTTACAGAGCCAGGAAATGCACAAAATAAGCTTTAATCTTCTTTTCATCCAACAACTACAACACTGCTCTAGAAAACAATTTAACCATTGGAAGAAGGTTCTCATAATGCATGTGTACCTTGCAAGAAGTTACATTATGTACTGTGGTATGGCTTGTATGATTTCTCTCCTCATTTTAATCATTTGTATTATGTCTTTGGTGAACCACAGTAATGTCCTGTGGGCTACATATTGTATTAAGTTGGTTGCAGTAGTGTCCAAGCACAAATCGCCTGGGGGATAATAGAGAATATTGTATCTTACCTTATTATCTTCAGTCTGTTCTGAAAACTGTTTTTAAATACCGAGCACCGTATGGAATCTTTCACAAGATAAAACTAAATTGGAATCTGTCTTTGAGGCAAAGCTACATTCAAAACATGATTATGAAGAATCAGCAGTCAAGCTATCTTACTGTGCAACGTGTTGATGGTTAAAGATTAGAGCTTTCAACATTAAGTGAAGGGTTTTGAGGCCCGTTCAATTTGAGTTTGTACTTGCTTTGTGCATTTTACAAATTCCTAAATGTTTTGCGGCCGTCACGTTTCAAAAACACTTTTGGCGAGGTAAGCTTTTCAAAAAGTTGTTTAATACAATACTGATCAGTTAAAGAAAAATCTAGATCAAAACCGGAAACATGCAACCAATGTGAGAGCACTGGGAATGAACTGGTCATCATCCAGCTGAAAATGTCACAGTGCAACATTGAAGCGCCATCTTGTTAGCGTATAGAAGCCATTCAGCTGAAAAAAAAGAAGCTTTTAATATATCATTAAGAGACATTGGCAACATGACATACTGTAGGCTGCAGATGGAGCCCGATTACACGCCAATTAGATGCAAGTGGATGGGAATGAGCATGGAGGCTATAGAGCATTGTCATGCATTTTAAGTGGGTTTTTTTTCCATACAAAGGTGAAACAGTGAGAGGTTTATCTGCATGATGAGCCACCAAACATCTGGAGATACTTATCATGAGGCAAGTCTCTGTAGTGCACATTCAAATGTTTCATCACAGTGAGCCCTTTAATGCACAGGGCATGAGGTTCACGTCATTCCCTGTCTCTTTTCAGTGCATCAGGCAAAAACACGACGAGGAAGGATAAATGAAGGACCACCTACTTAATCTGTGGAGAGAGGAGGAGTATTTACTTAAGTCAGACTTGAGGGCCAGCTCGTAGGAGGGCGGCAGATGGCTGAGGTTCTGGAAGGATCTGGACAGGGACAGGTCGTAGGGCTCGGTGGCCGAGGTCAGGATGTTGTTCATCCGCTGTGGTCTCTCTACAGGGGACAGGGAAGGAAGCGGTGCGGTGCAGTCAGAGTAAACTCAGTCAGAAAGAAGGGAAATCAACTGGGAGTCTTTACTGGAGGAGAGAAAGGGAGGCAGATAAAGAGGCCGGGGTTGTGAGAAGTGTGGGGGGAGAAAGGCTTGTGCTGGAGGTCTTTAGCGTGTAGGAAACAACAAGTTAAAAAGGTCTGCTTGCATTTTGAGATGTACGACGGACTGATCTAGCTTGACCCATGTGCGATGTTTGGTCATTTAACCTACAGCCGCAGGCATGGAGCCAATTAATTCCATCTGCATTGGCTAATGAATAATCACATTTTTAATAAAGTAACTTTGTACATTATGTGCTATAGCTAATTTAGATATTTGTTTTCGTGTTATAACATTGGTTAAAGTCAATTTTTCTATTGCGCTTTTACATTTTCCTCTTCTGTTTGTACATGTATAAGTACGTGTCATCTGCATATAAATAGATCCACTTATAGAGATTGGGTACCATTCCTGCATGGCAGATCTCTGTTCTCTTTCTCTACAAAATGTACCACTGAACAGTTAATATGCTTGGAAGATAAACTAATAATGGAGGCTAAACCCCAACCGTTAAGTATTAGAAATAGACAGTGTTTTAGAAAAAGGCAGATGCTATATGGGTTGTCATAGCGAATGTGGCTATTTACACCTGTGTGTATATATAATAATGCCTAAAACATGCACCCAAATTGGACCATTTTATTTGTATTATAATAATTGTGAGAAAACAGCATTGTTTTAGAGAGAGTCATTGGTGTCATACATCCTGCCTTTTATCCTTGTATCCCATCAAACATTTACAAAGTGAGATGCCACCTTGAATATGGTCGGTTGGGGGTGCAAATAGCACAACAACTGCCATTTGACTATTTTCATCGATGCAAATGACTATATTGTGTACATCAAATAGACTTTTGGATTTTGGAAAAGTAGTCTGGTGACTTTCCCTTCAAGCATTTCAAGGGCATGAAACGCTACGTGTTGACTTGTAACATCAATACAACGTACCAATCTGTGCTTCTTTGCCTTTACACATTCTGAGCAAACTGTGAATGTGTGAACTGTGTCCAGGCGGCTCAAGTGATGGCTGGTGTGAAATGCTGTTAACATTTCTGTTTTGCTATCAGTGATATGATGTGGCACCATGAAGGCTCCCTGCACTGCACAGAGCTCCTTAGGCTTCAGTATTTGGGACGCCCAGTCGTGGGTCAGGTGGCGCAGTGGGTGGGTGGGTGGGCTGGGATACGGGCAGGGACGGTGTTGCTGGATTTAAAAATAGGACTGGGTGTCTACTGCAGCAAGGAGGACAAGGACACACAACACCGAGTAACATATGGCGTAGAGGAGAGACATTCACTGAGTTGGAAAAAGAGTGTGCCGACATGTGTGAGGGTTTTGAAGAGCCAGTTAGGTGGAGTGAAAGAGTGAAAATAATGTGTGAAGAAGAAATCTCTCAGACTGGACTAAAGGTCATGGACTGCAATGCAGCGTGACAGCAAAATATAAACAAGCGCTTAAAAAATAACGAGAAAGGAGAATAGAAAATGACCCCCAGTGTGCAGGTAAAGAGTTTTGATCGCTACATGATACGTGTAAGAAAAGGTGAAGAAAGAATACACATAAACACCAAGTGTATGTGTATTACTTACCGTGTCGCATTTGTCTGTGGGCTACCAAATCCAAGTGAGAAAGAAAGGATCAATAAGAATCAAAGTGCACAGATGCTTCAACCAAACGACCACACTGAAGGGTTGCCCTTGTTTAAAGCTAATATTGCTACATGTAGAATGCTGCCCCGAGTTAACACATATAATCCAACCCAGCAACTCTGGAATTATTCCTAAAAGCTACCCTCCCTCATCAGGAGCTATATAGGCTTCAAAAGGACTGTTTGAAGAGTTTTATTTGGTACTAACGGTACTTTTCAAAGCCATTTCCCGAGCAAAAAGGCTGTCCTGTTTAAGAGGCACACAACAAGCACAAGTGGAATGTGGCCCACAGCGCTCCATTAACGGCTGAAAAGTTTGGATAATGACTCAAAGTCGGTCTCTGCAGTTTTTAGAATGTCAGGGAGATATTTTATCACGAGTAGGGCCAGACTCCCTCTTCAATTACTAAGTGTTTCATTTCATTGACGTTTGGATGCTGGAACATTCGGTAATTCCACACTAAAAGCTGCTCTCCTTTCACAGAAAATCACATTAAGAGAAATAGATGGGAGGCAATAAAAGTAATTGAGTTTCCAATAACTGCAGCAACATCCACAGATGATACATTGATTATCATAAACTTTCGGCTTTTCATTTTCTCCAAAGACTTCTTTGTCAGTCCTTCAGATTTTAATTTCCCCGTCAAAGATATACTATTGTCCTTGAAATTGGAAATCACAAAAATGGTTTGGCTGACTTTCATTTAGAGACAGATAACGATCCATGTCATTTGGGAAAGTCAAGTCGGGTCCGATTATGAGAAATCAATTTCTCTTCTTCAATTTTTCTGATCTACATAGGGATTTTTGCACCACATGTGTCACATCTCCAGTTAAGGACATTAGTGTGTTTTCTTACCCAGTTTAGGTGTGAGGGCAGTCAAATCCAGGTGGCTGTGTTGGTAGTCATGGTGATGGTTTCCTATTGTAGGACAAACAGAGTCAAATATTATTTTGAAAACGCTAGGTTCAAGTGACAAGAAGAACATCAGAAATGACAGTCATTGCCCTTGATGTTAAAAGGAGAGTAATCAAATGCCTTAAACACATAGTCTCCCTCTTAACCTTTGTGTATCTCCCTCTTCTCTTCTGTATCTCCAATTCAAGATATAATGCAGGGGTCTTCAATGTTTTTCATGACCCCTTAGCAAAAGGGGCCCTTTTATGCTTGTTGAAATATCCATTTCCTGTAGTGTGTTAAATAGGTTATGTGCATGTTAGTCGCCTCCATTGGACTCCTTTGTTTACTTCCGTAACATAGTGACATCACTACGTAACACTCACGTTTATTTTGGCTAGCACTCCAACACATTGTACGTGATAGGCTAATGGGCGGGACATCTCTAAGTGGCTGGCCAAATACAAAAGAGCCTGCCAGCTAACCAATCATAGCAGACTTGGCTCCATTGAGCGTTCAATCATTTGTAAGGTGGCCTAAGGCACTAAGGCAGTACCATCTATACACATTCCCTTTTATGATGCGTACACTACTACGCTATTCAAATAATAATTTGTAGTCAATATTTCACCTTAAATGTTCCGTACAGTGCTTTGGCACAGGTAAGCTACTGATCCCACAGGAATGCATAGCAGTTGGACAATAATTACATCACATTTCGATATGCTGACGCTTCAACTAACAATGAGCCAGTTGTGTGTTTTATGTTGGATTCATGAACCTAATGTGCATTTTCAGACATAACTTTTATTTAAAAACAAAGTATAACTTATCAAACACTTTGCCGGCCCCTGTGTAGCAATTTTGAAGACCCCACGTGGGTGACGGTCCCTTTGTTGAAGAACTAAATGATGCAAACCCTTTGAATTAAAAATGTGTAGGTGCTGTAATGCACTGTATAAATAACCTTGTGTTGAAAAAAAGTGAAGTAGAATTTTTGATTCCCCCTGTAAGTTAAGCACAACAAGCAGTGTGACAAATGTTATCCTAGTGTAAGAGTGAGTATCAACCGGCTCTCCCTCCCAGTCTCCTCGCTGTATGCCGTTTCCCCAGATATGAGAGCTTTGATTTGTTCAGTGCGTCTCAAGTGAGTGGAGAACTGTCACAGCTCAGTTATGGGACTGTGAGTGTTTCTTCCAGTTGACAGAACCCACGGTGGAATGCTACTTTGCCAAAAATGATTGATTGCAGCCTCTTTACATGGGAACATGAGCCACAGCTCATGGTGATCCATCTTAGATGTAAGTGAGTCAATTTGATGTTGCGTTAATATTGTTATGGGTTGTTTGAGTGGGTTAAGAAAAAGCAACATCATCCGAGACCTCCATCACCAGCAGCTATGGGAAATCATATCGCTGAGAGAAAATATTGCCTTGATTCAATTACGCTTTGTGTTTCTGAACAGCAGAGCAAACAAAACATGGATATATAATAGTTGTACCTTGTTTGCATTTAAATATGTTCATTTATCATCCTATAAGAGTGATAAAGACAATAAAAACCCACCTCTAATACACATGAGCCCTTTAGCGAGCTTTGAACAGACGACAGGGGGGATGTGTTCTGCTTTTGTTAAAGTTCAGTGCCTGTATTTCAATGATACTGCTTCCCCCAACGGGAGGATGTGACATTTCTGACAAATGTTTTTTATCTGTAGATCTAAGCGAGTATAAAGATGAGTCTCACATATTGAAATGTGGTTTTGGATTTGCTAGCTAATCTCAACTGAAATTGCTATTCAGTTAAGGTAAAAGAAGGAATGTAAAACACTGGTTTAAATGGATTTAAGTATCTGTGTACCATAATCATAAAACAAGTATTTTTTCTCCTTGCAGCTGCGCTTCGCAATCACAGGTTTGATCAAGGGACCAATTATAGCGGCTACTGAGAGCTCATTTAAATTACCCTGCCATGAACCTAAAAATGAAAGCGCCAAATAAATAACAACCTACTATCTGTCTAATTGCAGAAAAAAAAGGCTTTTTTTCTTCACCACCGCCACATACATTTCACACATTAAAATGTGTGTTTAATAGAGGTTCAAGAGTTTATCACCCTGTGACGATGGTTTTTCTTTGCGGTAATCTAAAGTTCAGGGTGCGTGTGATCCAATTATCCCCTTTATGTGATTTTTGACTGTTATTGCTACTAGTTTGCAACAACTCTGCCACAAAACAAAGCTCACATTTAAAAACGTATATGTAATTTGTTTATAAGGAATCTAGTCCCAGCACTTGATAGATGAATCAGCCCTGGCAAAGTAGGAAATCACTCAGCACAAAGCACATAGCTTGAACGCACTCACAGTGCTGTCATTAATAAAGGATGGATAGTTGGCTGCTTTAGTTTAATTTGGTCAATCGAGAAAAACTGCAGGAAAATGCCTGGAAATGTAAGTGTTTTCAAAAAAAAATATCTGGACGAGTTATTGGTGTAAGGAGGTCAATGTTAGGAAATGATTATAAATGGTATTCTTAGCTAGACAGAATATTACACCAAGAGACAAAGACAGGATCATCATCTAACAGTCACAGGCACCAGATCTGATTAGTTTAGACATTCTCTCCCATCAAAAATGCCAGGTTAGTCAATACAATTGAGTACACGGCTGTTGCAATAAACTGAAACAGCAATAATGGATGGGGTCTCTCCCATCGTTTGTCACTCTCCATTTGCACCTTATGCACAGACTTGACATGTGCAGAAACTCTGACAGAGCAATTTGTGGAAAAGTCTAGAAAAAAGTATGTGGACACTGGAGCCTTACAGCCATATGTGATTATTGGAAGTGTCATTCCAACCCCATATGCTGCTACAACAGCCTCCACACTTCTGGTTATTTTTTCCCAACAGATTTTTGAACCTGGCTGCAGGGATTTGTTCACATTCAGCGAAGAGAGCATTAGTGAGGGCCAACACTGATGGTAGTGATAAGATCTGGCTCACAGTTGGCAAGCGACTTCATCCCAGAGCTGTTGGAAGGGGTTGAGGTCAGGGCTCGGTGCAGACCATTTTTCACTGAATTTTTGGACCATTTCCCCTTGTATTGGATAGCTGACAGGAGAGCGGCAGACAGGAGCAAAGGTGAGAGGAGACTTTGCAACCGGATGAAATATTTCTTCTGGCTTTGTAAAATTGAGACTTGAAAGAGTCTTCACCAAAGTGTTGCCACAAAAACAAACTTTTGTCAAAATGACATGCTAGCATTAACATCTCAAAAAGAGCTACATCATTAATAACATTTTAAAGGTCACCGTCATGCAATATTTAGGCAATAGCATAGGTCATATATATAAAAATGTATAATGAAGTGTTTTGCTCAAAATACCAAACAGATCACCCATTCTAGCCATGCCTCATATCCCTCTATTTCACTTCCTGTTACTAAAGTGCTGATTCGGGGTATAACGCTTTAAAAAAAAAAAAGAGGGGGGAAAAAGGCTTATGCGGGACCGGCAGATACTGTCTAAAATAAATTCTGCGGTGATGAAATGCCAAAACTACATCAAGGATTATTTCTGAAACAGTATGGAGCTCAAAGGCTTTCTCTCTTGCTGGTTTACCACAAGGTGAGTTCCTTTCTTTATCCTGCTTCTTCACACATGTGCTCTCTCCAGTACTGGTTAGCTCTGAGTGTTAGCGATGCTTGCTAATGTAAACAAAGGCCATATTACGTCCAAAATACGTCACGCATTGATTCTGATAGCAACTTTCTGATAGGGCCGTGGGTCCACCACGTGTGTAAATAACGTCATATCGGATGGCAAATCCAGCTCGTTGTACCCCCGTTTTTCACAGATTTGCGCAAAGAGGAAAAGAGAGAGGGTTTTATTTTCTTACACTTTGTGAGTTCCCTGGGGGACACGTACTGTATGTATAAAATACATCAAAAAGTGCATTTTGTATGATAGGTCCCCTTTAAGACATTGGAAACACACAATACTTTACATGTAACAAAGAAGAGGAAAATGTAAATATGTTGGGGAATAATCCACACGTAGTGCACACATAGTTAGTAGCAGGAGGATGTATGTGGGATTGAGTCAAAATAAAGTACAGTGAATATATTGAAGGAAGATTTTTGATTTTTTTTTAAACCATAGGACAGTGTTTAAAGAGGAAGATAGAGGAGATGACACGCGTAACATGAAAACATGAAAAATAAAACATAGAAGCTTTGGACATTCACGAGTGCGGTGTTTTCTGACATATTTTATGTTGTAGAACAAAACGCGGAAATCTCTTCAGCTCGTGTTAACCACAGACACAGATGGATCCGCAAGTTGTTTAAGGCTAACTAATTTCCGGGTTCTAGGGTTAATTTTTGCACCACTTCACATTGTAGTGTGTTTACATTTTGCATTACAGTTGCAGTAAAGTTGGCTTGAAATTAAGGCATTAATCCGTTTTTCAGCGTCTTGTGATAAATACAAATTAATACTTTATATATTTATGGCATATTTACCTTTGCAAAAGATGGATAGATAGCTAAAGTATACTGTTAAAGTGACATTTGTTTTCCTTAGACATTTTAAAATATTTATTTGCGAAACCTTTTTTTGACAGCAATAATTAAATAATCTCAATAGGAAAGTGTAATGGCAATAATGAGCATCAGTAGCAGCCTTACCACGACTGAGAATGTCGAGCAAAGGTCTGAAGATTTCTTCTTTTCCTAATAGATTTCAGTTTTTCCATTCAAACACTCTGGATCCAGTTTAGGACTATGTGCATTGTATACGAGAGCACATAGTACCTGCTAAGTGTTAATACATAATGCAGCAGCTCTCGCTGGCAGTGAAGAGTGTCACAAGGATTGGCTGTAGTAATGCTGGCAGCTCTGTCACAAATGAATCGAATGCTTCCAAGTTCCAGCGGGTGGACAGAGGGGATCCCACTGTGACCCAGATCCATTTTAAACGGCTCGCTCTGGGGAAGCTGATGGACAGACGCTGGCAGAGGAG